AGACAAATTATATATGTAAATTAATTTCTGTTGCAGATAGGGAGTGAGTTGACCTGAATTTGTAAACTCATCCCACTTTTTGATAAAGTAAAAATTCTTGAAACAAACATTTGTCAGTATCTGTCTCTGATTTGTTTCTGTCTTGACATGTTCCTAATTCTTTTTTTTTCCCTAACAGGAGAGTTAATAAAAACCAGCACAAACTAAATTATACTCTCCATCATGCTGTTGATACTCAAAGACAAATAAATATAGCATCCTTTATAACCACTGCTTTTCTATGAAGCAATATGAATTTTATTGCAACCTGGGTTTCAACAACCAAACATATATAAAAACTAATTCACAATGAACAAAATATCTATGCTTGTGATGAAGCTCCACATAGCAGCAGGTTCATACCTGCTGCTATGTGGAGCTTCAAACAACATAACATATTATTATGTTGTTTCCAGAGATAACTAAGTACTTTGCAAATTTGTTCACAATCTTTGAACCGTTTCACATCAGACATCATCAGAGATCCCATAATTTGCTTTAGTCAGTCATCCAAAATCAGTAATTCATAGAGTTTGTGGTTGTAACGGACAAAAGTTAAGTTGTTTTAACAAGGTTCCTAATGTGCATAAGATAATCTGGCACACACGTTAGCCACCATAAAAAAAGCAAAGTTTCAAAGTTTCACCAACTGTGCAGAAGATGAAAGGATTCTGGAAATAATGAAGAGGAGTCAGCTATTTTAGTTAGTCACAAAAATGTCCGTAAATGTGGTGGTACAAGTTTGGGCAAAGGTGCCACACAGGTTAAGCACACAGAAAGTTGTGCTTAACCTTTGATGCAAAGATTCCTTGTAAAATATTTCTGTCCTTGCAGATCCCACTGCATTGAAGGGCCATTATGAAAATGGGAGATATACAGGAAAATGAGAATTAACACCAGTGAACCTAAGCAATCATGCCTTGTGCTGCTGTGCCTTGAGCAAAGAAATGTCAAGTTGTACAGTGCATTTCAAATGACTTCAATCATGTTTTATGCCATTAATTATGATTGATATGCCTTTAAACACCAACATGGTTTCAGAGGAATTTAAACAGATAGCCATTTGCTGAAGAGTTTCTTTTGGAAGGACAGAAAAAAAATAATAATAACCTCTGCTTGTTATGTTTTTTTTATCCAGCAGAGAGACCTCGGTGTAAATACCCATGTTTATTTATGTGTTTATTAAAGGACTAAGATTTGTCATTAATTGTGAATTTGAGCCCCTGAGAACTGGAGCTGAATACCAAATAGGGCTTTACAATGTTTGAAGTATTATAATACGGAGCCCTGACTAGCTAATGAAGTCTCTGTGGACTGGATCCCTCACTATAATTCACCTTTTATTCTCACAATCCCTTCATCAGTTCCACTTTGACGGATTTCCAGCTTAAAATTGAGAGGAATAATAATAGAGACTTAGTGAGGTTCTTTAAAAAAGTTGATGGAAAAAACTTCCTCTTGGCTGAAGCAGATTGATTGCTGTTTAACTGAATTTTAACCCCATGATTTAGCCTACAGACATCAACAATTTCCTTTAAATGAGATTTTCCTTAACAAAATGTCATTGAAGTGAAGCACACTGTACAAAAACAAAACAAACAAAAAAAATGTGCAGGAGAGTGGTTGGGTTGAATGGCACTTAATGCTAATTTTTATTGGAAAAAGGTACAGATTGAAAATTTCCTAAATAATTCATTCATACTATTAATGCTTTTTGACCCAAAAAGCATTCATGAGACTTTGATAAAATTTTATTCCGGTGACAGATAAATATTTTTCTTTCATAATGGCGTCAAATATCCCTGTTTGTTCTCTCACCCTTGTCAAAAAGTACAAAATTGTCAAGACAAACTCAATAAATTGTCATGGGACCATCATAGTGTAGAAAACAAAACAATACCACTAACTTAAAGAAACACTCTCTGTTGTGTTGCATACACATGTGTGATTGACAGCACTAAGACGTTCCTCCTGTCTCTGATTGGTTGTTTCTGACAAAGCAGTATGATATCTGCAAATGGCAGATTTTTATGTATAATATAAAAAGTGAAAATTAAATGTGAAACACTCCTGATTCATCTTTAACAAACATTTTGAAAGTGCTTGAGAGGAAAGAACCATCAACACTTCTTCATCATATACAGCGAGTCATAATGACAAATCTTCAAATCATTTTTCTAACCACAAGAAGAAAAAACTGTGGACAACCATTGTTAATGTGTCCTGTCACACTTGCACAAAACTGTATTTGTTATTATCTCTTGTATAACCGTGTCTGGGCCTCCTGCTACCACAAACCCAAATTACATGTGCACTGAGGGAAGTCTGTCTGATGCTTGAGTGCTTTTAACCACTCTTGCTGGTATACCCTCACTCAGGGAAACGCTGGGTGACAAACCGTAAACCCACTGACATGCACAAAGTGGCAGCATTTACTGTGTACCCATTACTTCAATAATACATGTTGGCTAAGTTGCCTGAGTTAATATCTCTGAATGTCTTTGACTGCATTCTTTACTTTCAAATTAATGCTTAATATCAATAATCAATTCAATACCAGATGTATAATGTTCAAAAAAAGACATGCCCTCTCATTAGAATGACAGAAATATTATTTCAGTATAAGATTATTATATGTAGGCTGTGTTAAAGGTTACTGCTTCAGGGATTATGTCTTACAAACAAACATGTTTTTGTTTTCTTAGGGAATAAATATAAGATAGGAGATTAGACCATTTCTCATTGTTACTCCTCAAAATGCAAAAATACATGAGAACACGATTTTCATGTATGGCAGGTGTGTGTTGATCTTCTAGGAAATCACTAGAAGAAAATGAATCCGGACCTGAACTTGCTCATATTGAGAGTAATAATCATAGTTTAAGACAACTGCAACTGGAACTGGAAGTTTATCTTACTGCAAGCAAAAACATTTTCCAAAGCTGACTGTTACAGAGCTGTTTTTTTTTAGTGTCATCCTGCATTGAAAGATTATTTAAGTTTAAGGCTTCTGATTTATATATTGCAGAAGTCCTGATGAATGTGAACAATTATACAGATGAGAGAAATGTTGGGTCAGAGCAAAATAAAGCAGAGGAAAGACTCCATACAAGTACATTTTCCTACTTTCTGGTCCGCACCAGCTCTTATTAGACCTTGATGGGTATTTTTATCAACGTTGTTTCACCCACAAGTAAGTCACAGAAATAATTGAATGCTTTTCTGCAAGTTCACAAGTATAATTTTAAGTCTTGCGTCCAAAACACTGGCGTCTCAGATTTTGTTTGCAGCTCATGTATTAATTCAGTTGCTAAGGAACTGCCCGATACATCTGATGTAATAATTATACTTTGGCTTTAACATCATTTGTGGTGTTCTCTTTTCAAATCAATTCATTTGGCTTAATCAAGCCCTGCATACTTTCTGGGTCTGTACGCCCCCCTCGTTGCCTCATTACGGTGAGAATATCACACTGGTGCAAAAAAAAAAAAAAAAAAACACTTCTCGAGTTACTTTTGTGATTGTTTTAAATCATCCCAAAAAAGCTTCAGGATGAGGGTGAGTTTCTGTGTACTTTTTTGATAAGGAAGTCACAGCAGGAGTAAGTTGGACATGTCACAAAGTCTAAATAAGCTCAGAGACAAGTGAAGTCTTTAGCAACTGATTGCTTCCCATGACCGTTTCCTTTTTTTAGGCACAGGCAAATTTTGTGGGTGCTTTTTAGATGAATGTGCAAATCCCAGAGATGGAATTAAAGCAATGTAAGGTTAAAGTCCAGACTAGTTGTATTGTTCACTGAGTATTGTATTGTTCAGAGTTGCTTTAGGACTGAAGCTTCTTACAATTATCATCAGGCAAGAAAATGGTGACTTCAAAGCAGATTACAAAGAAAGACCAGACAACAAAGCATGCACACATTTGCTTTTTCCTTTGGTCAATTTAGACTCACAAGCAGATCTTACATGTATAATTTTTGGACTTTGGAAGGACACTGAGGCAACATAAAAACTTTAGACACAAGGTGAGAATACCAGCTCAAACTGTTGATCTTCTAGAGACAAAGAGACAACATCAAGATCCCTCTATCAAGGTTTTAACCCAATTAATGATACGTAAGACAAAAACACACGTCAAGATTGTGGTATTTTATTTGATAATGTTAGTTATTTTAATGTGCATGTAAACTGCAAGCAAAACATTCTTCCATTTATTTCAAAAGAGATCATTTTCATGTCTGGACATTTTTCTATTTATTTAAAAGGATGGTAACTTAGGGCATGTTTAGCAAAGAAAAATTGCAATTGTGAAAAAAGAGAGATTAACAATTGATGCATATTATAGAAAAGGGAGAAGTTTAATAAAAAATATCAGTATTGGACCTGATTCCGTCATAAATCTTGAAGTCAACCAAGTTATATTTTGGCTTATTTTCGATGAGACGATGAGGGTTACATTGTTGCATAGTTATAAATAACAAGATGTGTCATATAAGGAGTTGAGAAAAATGTTTCACTGCTTGTTTTTTTTTTGTTTGTTTTTATTTTGGCACACCTTTGTATTTTAACCTCCTGAGACCCGGACTTTTGTTTGATGTGCATTTTTTATGTCTCCTTACTATTTGGGATTAGTCTGACCTAATTTTAGTTAAAATTAAATTTTAGCTTTCTATGTGCTCTTGAACTATGTCAAAACCAATGTCCTCATATGAGGACATTGGGTCTGTTTTTGCATATAATTTTTTTCTTTGCCATTTGGGATCAAAAGGACCCAATTAGCCTAAAAATGAAATTTTAGCTTTCTACAATAAGTGGTGATATCAAAACTAAATGTCCTCATATGAGGACATTGGGTCTATCTGTGTGACGATAAGACCATACAATCAATGTTATTATTTACGTCTGTGTTTCACAGTATGTACATTTACGCTGCTTTCTGTCCAGACTTTCACAAGGAAGACACCATTGGTTAACAAAGTACAAGTTTATTTTATACTGTCAACAAACACAAAATTGCAGAAAAAAGTGTGCAGCTTTTGCATGGAAAAGTGCAAAGTTTATGAACTTCATTATGAACATGTTATAGCGAACTCATCATTCTGTCTGATAAGTCTACCCCACCCATTTTTGCATTGTACTCCTGTACAATATTTGGTCTTCTGATGGTTAAATAGCATTTGTCCTTCTTGGACCACCGCTGGCAGGTGTCCTCTGGCTCCTTAGCATGGACAGCAGAGAGCATCAGGACCGGCTTGTTGTCAAACCATTTCACTACATTCAGTTTCCCAACTCCCCTGACAACTGATGCGGAGGACCATCTGTCTTGCTGCTTCATGATCTTGTCACTTGGAAGCTTCTGCATTGCTTTTGGGATCCTGTTCTTCATGACTGTACCAGTTAGGTTCACCTAAAAACAAAACCAATTAGATAATCTCTAAGTGATGTAGCAAGGACAATTTTTTATGGCAGCCATCTTGACGGAAAACAGGGTAAACCTGCACCCTTTTTGAAGGATCAGCCTTATTTTAAGTGTAATAAGACTTATTTTGACTAGAAATTAGAAATTTTGACTAGAAATAAACACAAATGCTCTTGAGAACATTTTACGTTTTGCACTGAAGATAGACCTGATGTCCTCAAACGAGTACGTCATGTTTACAGACGTTGTAGCTTGCTAATATTACTCAAATATATCAAATAAGCATGCCAGGTGAAGCTACAGACATTATTGTGCATAAATAAACAAGTTTCAATCATAAAATTTGATTAGGATTTTTACCTTGTCCATGTTTCTGTCGGGAGTTGCCGTCGAAGAAATTGGCCGTCATCTCCGCCATGCTGTTTTTTTTCAAATGAGTGTAATTTCATTATGAGACCACTAGGTGGTGCGGACATGCCCCCGAGATGAGGACAATTGGTCAAAATTCTTACAAATTCAGTATCATGGTGCAGAACAGCAAAAATGTAATGTCCTCATATGAGGACGCGGGGTCTGAGGAGGTTAAATCATCAAACAAATTTCAGCATAAAAGATCATTTGAGTCAATAGAAAAAGCTAATTTCAACTTAAGATTTTCTTCATTAACGGGAAAAGTTGTCAAACCAACAAGGCCCTATATGGAAGTATAATCGCACCCCTTGTTAAAAAACAAATTAATTGTGATTATGTTGGTATTATTTCAGGAACAAAAGCAAGCCCAACTAGTGCAAAACCAGTGGAGTCAAGAAATGGATATAAATACAAACTCTGACAATATTAAGTAGGGTGACAGATCTCAAATAGCAACTCATCATGCCTACATTTAACAAGATTTCAGAAAAAAATGTCATTCATGTCTCTCAATCTGGAAAGGGATAAAATATATTTTGGGTCACCGGAACTGCAGCGACCCAAAATGAGAGTAATAATCCATAAATGGATGACAAAGATGAACAATCTCTTGAAAATATGTAATTGCGATGAACTTGCTATATATTGTGATTTTGCTTTACCCATATTTTCTGACCGTTTTCCTCCTCGTTGACAAAAAAAAAACATATTTCTAAAAACATCTTGATTCATATTGTCTACAGCGTAATTTACTGTAGGGGGAGAGATGCATCCTTCAATATAAATTACCACTTTACGGGCAAAAATGACTTAACAAATGGTTCAAAGAAAAACTGAATCTCCATTAGATTTACTTTCTAAAAAAATAACAAAAATAGGAGGTGGTAATAAGAGTCGCCATTATATAACAGGCTCTGTTTTTGACAGCGCAATTTAAAATATTGTGAACGTGAACATTAGGAAGATGCCCTGAAGATACAGACAGCTGACAGGGCGAGAGGCAATGGTGTCATTTGTGAATCAAGAAGTTTCTTTCTTTTTTTTTTCTTTCATGGATAACTCACCAAACGCTGCCGGGAGGTGAAGAGTCTGGAGGTCACCTTTCAGCAGAGCGCTTTTCGGTGTCTATGCTTTCAACTGGAGGTGCACGATCATTTTCTTTCAATCGGATCATAGTGTCTTGGAGACAGAAAGGAAGAAAGGAGACAAAAAGCAACGAATGTGTTAAAAGACATATGACCAAATTAGGAAGTGGAATACCTATAGCACTGCTGCCTTTGAAAACGGAGTCAAACATGAACAGGAGGGAAGAACTATGACACTCAAAATGTTTGCCCTGAGCCAAAATGGCTGCTCTCTCCCATAAGGAATTATACATTTTTCATAATAAAACAAAGCAAAAAAAAATAATATAATAAAATAAATCTTCTATTTGCCATTCAAGCGTAATTATTTTTAGTGCCTATGATGATCTTTTATGCATTTCCTGCAATATGCCTTTACATTGCAGCGTTGCTGAAATCCTTTTACTTTGTTTGTCTAATGCGTATTAATCAAAGATCTGCTTGAGGGATGTGTCTACCATTCCCCCACTGGATAATATCTGTCAAAGGGAAGAATGGCATGTCTTCATGTCTCGGGAAGTGCTCATGCCTTATATAGTCTGGGTCTACTAGAGTTGCCTGCTGCACATAGCTGGATGTAGCCAAAGGCTAAGGAAGGAGACCTTTTGAGAGCTCATTAAGACAGTCTTCAAGTCTTGAGAGACAAATATGAATGCACTACAAAAGAATGAGCCTGCCATTAAAAATAATCAGAAGTAATGGCGCTGTTCCCAGACTGAAAGTACATTTAATATTTTTTTTTTTTTTTTTAAAGTAGAAGCTGGTTTAAATGGAGAAAAAAAGGCTATAAAGTGGAAGACGGGCTTGGGGCTTAATATTAATTTTCAAAAATGTAAACGCCTTTAGAAACATTAAGCAAATGAATAATGTATGTTCTGTGTTGCAAATACAAATTATATCCTAAAGGTCAATGTATAAAATATTTGTTCTAAAAGACATCCACATGGCATTTACTGCAATTCTTTTTGCATCTTTTTTTCCCCACTACTGACATTTACACTAGATGCACACAGACAAAGAAGAAACCACATAGAATTTAAATATTTCCTCAGCTGCATCCTATTTTAAGGCATCCTAACAGGATGGAGTGCTTCATCTTAATGCTAACAACCTCGCTTGGCCTATCTGCTCTAAAGCTAAGCTGGGTCTGCAGGGGCGTTTTCGAGTGAGCCGTGAGGAGGACTAAGCGATACAATTACCGTTTTCAAGTTTTCACTTTAAATCTGCGCTGAGACTTGATTGAAGCCTCCAATGACATGCCATATCCAAGTAATGACGGAGACGTTCCCACAATGTTATGAGACACTTATTACCCAGATAAACACAGCAGTAACTTGTCATACAGTGCGTATGAAGAAGTCTTGTGTAAAGCAGAGAAATGAAACGTCATAAAGTTTTAATTCCCAGTCTCATAATGAATTATTCTAAGGAAGAAAGCCTCAAACCTCTCAATTTTATTCTATTTTTTTGGCACTAGAGGCCTTCAATGACAGTCACTGAACTAATAACACTCTACTCTAAAAACTAGGGTTGAAGCATGGCTGTGAAAAAAGACAGACCGGCGACTTATCCAGGGTGACCCTGCCTCTCGCCCCGAATGTTAGCTGGAGATAGGCACCAGCACCTCCCGACCCCTCCAGGCACAAGGGTGTTAGAAAATGGATGGATGGGTTAAATGATTTTTTTTCTGCATTCAATCTATTTTGTGCCAAAGTGTGCAACCAAAAATACTTCTCTCTGCTACATTTAAGTATCATATGGACTCTTGTAGTCCATCATGTTCTATTATACAGAATTAAAGTTCATGTCTGAAACATGAAAAAAAATGAATCTTCTGTTCTTCTTTTTCCTAAGTTTCAGTGAAGATTGGCAATTATTGCACATCATCACAGAAAAAAAAAAACAGAAAGTATTGCTGCAACAACTCATAAGTGAGAGGCTGGACTATTCATATTAAACATAAACAGCACAAAAGTCACGACAACGTCAAATCACTCTACTTCCGAAATGGAGACTCTTATCTCGCCCAGCTTAAGTACAATATAAATCTAGCAGGGAAGCTCTTGACATCCTCGTTTGCTCACTGTTTGACTTACTAAGAACTGGTTCTCTAAAAACTGCTTTTGATTCATGTGTGCGTGCGCAGTGAAAGAATAAAACAAAAATTTCAGTTTCACAAAAGTTATTTTTTATAACCAATAAAAATTGTTTCAGTTGGACAAAAAGTGCAACTATTTTTCTAATCAATTGCATGTACAGGAAGAGTCTTTTCACCTCAAAGTGGAGGAGCATATTTGGTCTCTAGCTGTAGGTATTTGTGTAGGAACGCTTAGGAGCAAAGCAGTTTGTGTGTGTGAGCAAAGTAAAAACACTGACACAAAGAGAAAGACAGGAGGAAAAGGAAAGAAACAGTGTTTCATACAGCTGAACTGTGGCTGAGACTCAGCCAAGGTCATCCTCTTACTTATGACATACATGGAGCCAGACTGAGCTTCTCACTTGGACGCTCTCCATCTGCTCCCGCTGATAAGACCGGCTACTCCACGAACAGCATGCAGACACCACAGCTCTACATTATGAATAACATACAGCAATTACACAAAATCAATATCCTTTTTTTCCCCCTGCGAAATAGAAGGCAGACTTTCTGGAATGGTTTGGATCTAGATGAGTGTGCATTTAAAGAAAAAAAAAGTTTTTGAATGCTAATGCAAAGGAAAATACAAAATAGATTTCTAGCCACAAAGACGGAAACGAGATATCCTGCTAATTGGTTTATGTATATCAACCAGAAAACTCAATTCCATGCAGTCAAGGGGGCAGAACAGCTTAGCTTAAATTACAGGAACTCAACTGGACAACGTGGATTGTTGGGAGTCCAGAAGATTTTCCACAGCGTCTTTTCCAGTTTATATAAATTGGGAGAGGTTAATAATGTGTGCAGCTGGCAGAGCAGCATACCTGCTCCGTCTCCTCCTGTTCAACACTCCACTTTGTGAATCAAAGCACACGTTAAAATTCATGAGAGCAAAAAATATATTTCGCTGTCACTCCAGTGAGGACACAGAGGATTGTTCTGCAAAACCCTCTGCCTTGCTGCACTTCAGAGTCGGACTTAAATAAGGACAGAAGCTCTGACTGCATGGGGAATGTGGATGACAAATAGTATGTGGGTATCAGATTGCTCTAGAAAGCAGGAAGGCGCCATGCTTGGGGTGGTTTTAAATAAATGTAAAATGATGATAAAATTTTACAGTGTTTAAGAAAGTGGCAATAAAACAATAAGGAGGGATATTTGGAAGACTGGGAGGTTCGCCTGTTTTATGATGGCTGTCAAAAGTGCACACGCCCCTGCAGAGAGGCCAGGTTTTGCGACTGAAAAAAAAAGAAACTTCATAAATCTTTTCACAAGTGTTTACATGTACAATGTGATGAACGTCGTGTAATTTATGTGCTTAAGAAATGTCCAACAACCTTGCATTAATAAAGGATGTTGATCTAGCACTTTTTGTAAATACTTTTTGATTTTGATTCAACTTTGAGTTTACACTCATCAGGGAGGTTGCTGAGAAGGCAACAACTTTGTTTGCTGTCTACATGTACACATAGATTGTCTGGGGTTTTATCTTTATGTTTCTGTGTAAATTTTGACATTTTTATATGAATTTGTGAAAACAACTGGCAGCATCCCTCTATCTATGGATTACTTTTCTCCAATAATACATTTAACAATATGCTGCATGGTAAACAAGATTTGCCATGGTGTCAAATATTGATCTCTTAATAGAGCAGCATGAAGATTTAAGAGACACTGTGCATTTAATTTGGTGCAGTATCTGTCAAAGTTTCTCCAGAATAAAAAAAAAAATCATGGATAAAAGAGAAAACTACAGGAACTTTTAACAAAGGACTGACCTGCAGACTCCCTATTTTTCCTCAATAACTTCCTTCTTTGTTAAATTGACCAATTAAATGAGCCATCTGCTAAAGCACACAATTTTCAAGCACACATTTCAAAATATCTCCACCCAAATCACCTCTAACACTGAGAACCAGAGAAGGTTCTCTAATGCTAAAGAGATTGGTGATCTCATCACCATAACTACAGCTGATGATGTCAACATGCAACGCTTCCTATTAAATGAGCCTTAACCCATGGAGGTGGACCAATTGGCAGGAAATGAGATCAAATTGATTGGGAAACAGATGGAAGCGAAGCAGCCCCGATAAAACTCATGAGGCTTCAAGGGTGCAGATGAAAACAAGACAGAATCGGAGAGCAGACAGCATGAAATCAAGGACAGCTTGGATGAACTATGGGGCTTAATTTTCCAAGGCTTAAAGGAAGAAAAAGGATCTTTTAATATCAGAATGGCTAAAACTGAGTCTGTTCTTGTACTGGAATTTTTTAAAGAGCATTAGGAGAAAAAAAAAAGAAAAAAAATGAACAGTATCTTTGACTGCTGCTTCCACATTTAACCACAACACATATTCTGCCTGTCACAAAACTCATCAAGGGCTGTGAGTTGCTGATTCCTTTTTTGTAATATGTCCAGAGAAAAGGGCAAGACAACACAACAGCTAGGCCTTAAACCACTTTCAGCTTAGCAATTATTGAAAGGCATCTAATTCCACATGGAGACAATATCTCTGCTTTGCAGTCAATTTTAAAAGACGGCAACAGCCAGTCTGCTAATGTTGTTAAATACATCAGCAATCATTTTTTTTAAAATAACGCCTGAATATGTAAACAGTCAAATCTTATCCAACATTTCCACGGGGATTAAGATTTGACAATAAGGAGGAATATTTGTATCAATATTCCTTATATCAAGTATATCAAAAACTTGATATAAAAGCATGAACTGTAAATTGACAGATGATTCGTTAAATAGAGTGTGAGTGTCAGGACTGGGTATCTTATTTCTTACCTGATGGTCATTCAGATAGACCTCACTCCCTAAAACTCCCTTTCACTACCCTGAACATGACAGTAAGAGCTTGAAAAATAAATGACCTCATCCAAAGAAGAAAGAAAAAAATATTAGATTTTCT